GAGGATCGGGCTCCTATCTATCAACGTTTGCGCTCAAATAAAGTCACCCTTCCTTACTCCTCCTTTGTGCACTGGCCACGTGAGCTATCATACAATATATTTGATGGACCCTCTGATGTTGATGTTACATGTGGAATCTGACTTCACGCACAATATTTTAACCACTGTTACCAGAGTCATACTAACCCTGCTTCATTGCTAATCAAGTCTCCGAGCCGTCGGATTTGTGCTCATCAAAGAATGCTTGGATTTTGACCATCTTGGGTACCTGGCCAAAAACATTTAACAAATCTAGTGACGGTACAAAATGTGAGGTGTTCATGTCCCTAACAATAGATCTTTGACAGCCGGCTGGTTAAATTTTAGGGAGATTATGGCGGATCTTCGTCCTGGACGGGGAGAGCGTGGGTTTGTACATGTTGTATCCCATCGAGAAACTGTTAAACGCCTCATGTCTCGGTGATCACTCTAATGCAGTTACATTCAACTTTGAGTTTATGCTCCAAGAAATATAATTTTTTCGAAAAGATTTCGTAAATCTTGGTTATGGTGTTACTCGATATCTGAAGATAACATTTGTAGCCAGGTCTTTTCGCCACAAGCGAGTTTATCAAGGCCTAACGCGAATGTGCCAACATTCTCGCCGTAAGCGAGTTCGTCAACTTCTGGGGCCAGTTTCCCAACGTCTTAGGTCATAGAAGGAAGGTTTTGATGCCGATGATACCTCTTAGGTTTTTGTTGTCGTAGACGGAATTAATTATTTAGGATTGGAGAGACATCCGAGTAGGCCCTGATATCTATCGGTGGGGCGTGCTTGCAAAGCTGTGTTCAGTTAATTACAAACAGGAACTCTGGTTGGAAGGAACCTTGCTCGCTGATGTGGCGAGGCTGTTAACCAGATCAAGTGTAAGATTTGTAGCTGTCTGTCTGGAGTATTGCGTCTGAGAAAAGTCCTTAAAATTATTGATAAAGAGAGTGCATTGTTTGATTTTTGCCGGTTTAGCACCTACAATGCTAGGCTGATTAAATCAGCTTAAGTAACTACATATTTTCATCGCAAATAAAGCAGATGCTGGAGATAATGCGCAAATTAAATCGATTAGAAGCTTCCATTCCATCCCCCCAGCCCATGGGTAACACACAGGCATTTGACTGTCGTCCGTGACCGGGGGGTGGGGAATTTGAACCTTATACCTGGGTGGGATGGGAAATTTAAACCGGAAAGGTCGAAATATTTCCAATGAAAAATGCTTGCTTGGACGAGTTTTAAGGAAAAGAGTTAACTTTCGAGAGTGGATGGCTCAGAAGAAAAGGTCTGGCACACTTGGCTGCAGAAGGTTAAGGTTGGGGATGCTGCTCCTAACTGTTTCTGGGGACACCGTACCTTATCTTACACAAAGTACTACTTGAGAATTTGACCTGTTAAGGCAATGTTACAATATTCGAAGGCTACTACAATCTCCACCATTAATGTGCCTTCGTTGCGCACGTGTATTACGCGTGTATTAAGCACGGTCAGCTCTGAGGTGAGAGTAATCTGTGATTTTTGGTATCTTCAAGGACAATATTTTAAGATTGTGAATATTCAAGGCGACGTTTTGACAATAATGTTGAGAAGAGAAAGAAAGAAACTTCTTTTGATTCTTCTCGTAATTGGAGCGATAGTCATTATTTTGGTAAGGTTTCATAACAATAATAATAATAGGAATGAGTACCAAGTGGCTGCGAATGCTAAAGGTTTAAACGTCGCGGTTTGGAAAGATCTCTGTGGCTCGGATATGCGGTCGCTGAAAGAATTTCCTCTGTTCCCTCACGCCCCGGTGCTTCGTTTAAAAGCAAAAAGATTTCAAATGCACTTCACGAGGAAATTCGAGAATTTTGGATTACGAATGTATGGATTTCTTACTCCTGATGAATCTAGCAGTTACAATTTTCATTTAGAGTCAAGTGGATCGTCAGAACTATGGTTGAGTCTGGATTCAAATCCCGAAAACAGCAAATTAATTGCAAATATAACATCAGGTACAAGTTTAAACCGTGCACGCGAGCAAGATTCGATTTCATTATTAGCTGGAAAGCGTTACTATACAGAAATTTTACTAAAACATGGCCACCATCACTGGTGGAATGATAATTTTTTACACCTTAAATGGCGATCGTCCAAATGGAAAGACGAACTAAGAGATATACCGTCAAATCTACTCTCTGCATTTGAATATGATATGACTTCAAAGCCGTTTGATGGAGTCAAGTCATACTCCGCTATGATTCAGCCTATGCCATCTGAGGTTAACATCCTCCCAATGCACATTAGACATCGGGATCCATCATTCATAAATGAAGAAGTAAGACATCGTACAGAAATTTATCATCTTCCCTTCATCAAAGAAGAAGACAGTAAATATTTATTCCCTCCTTGTCAGTACAATCCATCCTACATCGTGAAGGAACCTTTATACAGATACCAGGCAATGTGGGAGACCCATTACACCTCAGTCTACCCATATGACTTTTCAGACATTGCAGCAGGTATGATGGATAAAGAAAAAGGTTTTATAAGCTTTGGAAATGATAAGATGAATGAAGATGAAGCAAAGCATGTTGTGTCTCAAGTTTGGAGGCAGATAGAGAGCAAACATCCCGGGTAATTGTCTTGAGTTTTTTTCTTTCCTGAGTATTCTTAATACAAAATTCCTGAAGGAGATGTGGTATAAAAATGCGGCTCTTACTTGGTGTAGAAGACACAGTATATGCCACAATAGAATTTCATCACAACTGGGAATAAGAAAACGATGAAAACAATGGTGTGGCATATACTGTGTCTTCTACACCAAGTAAGAGCTAAAAATACTTGGGGTAGTTGTAATTCCTTTCAACTATTTAACTCCCACTGATGACCAAGACCAAATTTCTCATTACGATATCAATACAATATAAAGCAGACAAGTGATGAGAATGAAAAAAAAAATTCAACTAGGAGATTATTAGTTCAACCAATGCCAAATTCTTTGAACAAACATCCTAAGAATTTTATTGCAGTCAGTGAGGAGAGTAACGAAGGTTCTAAAATTCCTCTGAGAATGGTCAAATTTACTTTAATTTTTACCAGTTTTATGTAGGGTTACTATTGATCACCCCAGACCAGTTATATGAAAAATTGGTACCAAGTTGCCTCCAGTCACCTTTGCAAGCTCACCCCTAAAGTTCATTCTTACTTTGACAGTATTCAGAAGATTGTAGAAAGTGTCAGTTGTAGTTTCTATTGATTATACACTGGCAAACTGATGAAGGTGGTTGAGGACACACTTGGAATGGGGTCTATCCACCATAAACTGAAAAAAAATAGTATCTGTCTAGAGAGACTCCCTATTTCAGGAGGTGTCTAGAGATGTTTCTCTTGTGATCTTATAGTTAGTTGGACTAAATCAATGGAGAGAGGGGCTGTGAGAGTGTCTGGCTCATGAATACAACTAAACACTTGTGACCTTTGGGAAGGAGTCAAGTGGGTTACTTTAAATGATATTCACCATTAGCTTATATTGAAATGTGCATCAGCATTCAACCTGTCTTATTGTGATTGAAAATTTTGGGTATTCATTCTTGATTTCTGTAGGAAGTATTCTTTTAAGAAAATCTTGAATGTGGAACAAAACCATGATCAAGGTACAGGAGACAGGTATTTGGTGGAATTGGAACTTAGAGAAATTTCAAGTGGGAAACATGCGAGATTCTCTGAATATGTGTACAGACCCTGGGATACACATGTGCTATGCACCCCTGAAGGTGTGACATGGAACAAGAGTGCTGTCATCAATATCCTTCTCACCATTGGGAATAAACAAGGAAGTTGGATCCTTCATTTTTTGAATCACATGTCAAAAATATTCAAGAAAACCAATGATTCCAATTTCAATATAGTAGTTACTGAATTTGATGGTGTTGATATTGACATGAAAGAAGCTCTGAAGAAGAGTGGAATTCCACATTATCAGCATCTTAGACTTCGAGAGGGATTTAAAAAAGCCTGGGGACTACAACTGGCTGCTAATATGGTTACAAATCCAAACTCAATACTGTTTGTTATGGATCTTCATTTGGATATTCCCAACCATTTTCTGGATGATGTCAGAAAGGTGAGTCAAGAGTGTCATAAATAGTCTCTATAATAAACCAAGACCTTCAGTAGATCATGGTTAGTTTAATCAAAGATGAAGACAAAAGGTACAGGGAAACTGACATGTGCTTGATTGCACTATGTTTGATATTTAGTTACTTGATGCTATACATGTGATTAGATCACATTTGAGGTGAGTGGTACAGGTAAAATTACCATAACCTGGTTAGCTGGTGTTGGAAAGAAAACAGAGCACAAATTTTTGAGGGATACAAATGGGAAGAATCGAAGAACAAGACTGTTCCTTTCTTTCACTTTTCCCCTTCTCAAACCCACCCCTTAAAACTTGTATTCCTAACACCAGTTTTTCTAATTGTGTATTTACTTTTTGGTAGAATTAATTGCCATATATTGATCTGTTTTTGACATGCAAGGAGTTAAAATTGTTAGAAACCTTACTTTTGACTTTTATCACCTTTCACTGTTGTCATCATCATCTATCTTGATTTTCTATGAGTATCTTAAATGAGGTGTTATTTATTTTGTCACAAGTATGGGACCTCAAAAGGTTTGAATCATTTTAGGGGACTCAGACTTTTTCTTTGTCTCTCACTTGGGGCATTATGAATAACATCTTTCTTTAAGAGTTGCTTATTTACAACAACGCTAGGAAGCAAAAGCATCTTCATTTTTTTCAAGATTAAGCCAAACATTTACCTTCTCTACTCATGTAAATCTGCCCTCTTCTTTTAATACAGCACTGTGTTCAGGGTAAGATTGCTTACAGCCCTTTGCTTATCCGCCTATCATGTGGGGCCACAGCTCATCGTCCTGTAGGCTTTTGGGAGTTCTATGGGTATGGTTTGATGGGCATGTACAAAAGTGACTGGGACAGAATTGGAGGAATGAATGTAAAAGAATTCAAGAACAAATGGGGTGGAGAAGATTGGGAGATCTGTGATCGCATTTTGATGGATGGTATGGAGATAGAGAGGCTGAAGATGGTTCATTTATTTCATTATTTCCACACCAAAAAAGGCATGTGGTCTGATGCCTCTCATCATAATGAGAAAAGTGACTCTACAGATAGATACTGGCAGTAATTTCTTTAAGCAATAGATTGCACTTTCTGTTATTTTACTATGGTGCTTTTCTCCAAAGTCTGATGACTTAACATACCCAAAATGACATTTTCAAATCAATCTGTAAACTAATGTTAATTAATGTTAAGGTGATCAGATGAGAGAAATGATTTAGTTACAAGCTTTATAAGTGTTCTCCCAATAACACAAGTGGGTTATTGTACATGGGTGAACTGATAGAAAGTACAGCAGGTAATTTAGTGTAAACAACTGGGTTGAAAACGTAAATTAGCCACCGTAAAGGGTAAAAAAGCTGACGTTTTGAGCATTAGCCCTTCGTCAGAGCCATTAGAGGAATTGTGGGTTGTGTGTGGATTTATATGTAGGAAGTGGAGCTACGCCATTGGTGGGAATGTGGTGATGAGAAAACAGGAATAAATTAGTTGAATGAAAAGCGCTCGTTGATTCAGTGGGGATTAAGGGTGCCGATTTGGAATATAAATTTTTGTTCTAGTGTTTTACGGCTTTCCGAACTGCCTAGATGTAAGGAAAGGCCGCAAACTGCCATATGCTGTTTAGAATGATAAGGAAGATTAAAGTGTCTAGCGACTGGTTTGGATGCGTCCTTGTCATTTCTTTCCACCTTCGCGATGTGGATAATATCTTATCTGTTTTATAAACAGATACAACTACTGTTATAAAATTTATATATTGAAAATTAGTGTATTTATGAATGTTTCAGCTCAGAGTGATTACCAATAGAATAACAGATTTAATCTTAAAATCCCAATCCTTTCTTCTGATTGGGGCCACTGATTTCTTATTTTGATGTTCATATTTTTTCCATATAAGAGCTGTTCTAATTTTGGTAGGCTGATCTGGTTCATATTTTTGTACTTATTTTCTCTATTTGTAAAATTTCAACTTGAAGGTTAGTAATCCACATGTTCTTGTATGTGGGTGTGTACTGTATTTACTCAGTTGTATCCTTAAGATTTTTTTACTACCAAAACTCTGTTGGAGAGAACAATTGGTTAGTGAGCCATAGCAAGATTTTTTATATTTTTAATCAGAGGGTTTAAAAGGCAGATGGACTCTAAGAATTCCAATCCCCATTCTGGTTAGGGTCACTGATTTCTTATTTTGATGCTCATATGCTATCAGAGAGTTTAATAGGCAGCTAGAAGAGAAATAATCATGGATAGTGAAATGGGGAAATAGTGAATCACAGACTTAAATTAGTTTTAATGATTGAATTGAGCTGTAAGCTATAGAAAGTTATTTTTTAAGACAAGACAGAATTTCTCCTTACAATATCAATATAACATCAAGTAGACAAAAGATGAGAATAAAGAAAAGTATCAATTAGGGGATTG